CCCTCCCCCTCCCCCTCCTCCTCCTCCTCCTCTTCATCCTCCTCTTCCTCCTCCCGAGCCTCCAGGTCGTCGCGCCCCGGGGCCACGCGGACGGCGATGTTCATGCACGACGAGGTCGGGAATCTGGTATTTCTGTGACGCCGAGCTCGCGCAGAACGAACTGTAGGAAAACGCGAGCGAGCCTTCCCTGCAACTGGGCTGGCCGCGAGCCACCCCCACCTGCAGCACCGAAGCCTGCATCACCATTGCCAGCATCGCCGTTGGCGTGTCTGCGGGCGTCTCCCGTCTCCCCCCCGAAGCGCCGACCACGACCTCCCCCGTGTGAGCGACGATCAAAAACGGGTCTTGCGCGAGATGACATAGCCGATGAGCGACAAAAGCGCCCCACAATACTTCGGGGGGGGGCCTGAGTTTGAAGGGCCACAGGCCTGGCTCAGATCGTCGCGTCTCCCCCCCGAAGCGCCGACCGCGGCACCCCTGACGTGAACGCCGCGCCGTTTGTTCCCGACGCGCCCAGGTGGACGACGCCGACATCGCGGCAGGCCCACGGCAAGCCCTGCGCCCCGCGCCCCAGAGAGACGCCGCCGCCGCCGCGGCAAACACCACAGCGAGCCCGTGGCGCCCGAGGGGGCGTTTGCCCTGGTGCCCGCGGCGCCCTCCCCAAGACGCAGGGCCGCGCGTCGGAACAAACGGCGCGTCGACGTGCGAGCGACGACCATCAGCGGGTCCTGCGCGAGATGGCATAGCGACCTTACGCGGCGGCTTGCGTGGGCCGCCAGCGCGGCAGGCTGCAATGGGGAAGAGGGCGCTCGCGCGCGACCTCGCGCGGGCAGCTTCCGCGCGGAGGTCGGCGCAAACGGCCCGTGTTTTTTGTTGCGCCGCCCGTGTAATTCCAATCGATCGAGATTTCGACCAGCGCCCATCGAATCTGATCGATGGGGCCAAAATGGACCCACTCGGGCCCCCAGAACCTGTCCACATCCATTGCCGCGGGGTCGCGTCCCGGGATCCTGGGAAGCGACGGATCTGGATGCTTACCCGCACGTGCGGGACATCCGCATCGACCGCGCCCCGAGATCCCAAGGGCACGGCTCAGAAGCGGTGAATGTGGACGCATTCTGGCGGCGGAACTTTGGCCCCCTCAAGCCCCCCCCTCCTCCTCCTCCTCCTCCACCTCCTCCTCCTCCTCCTCCTCCTCCGCCTCCTCCTCCTCCGCCTCCTCCTCCTCCTCCTCCCTGTTGGACCGCGGGCGGCGCGCCGGCGCACCTGGCCCGCGCGGTGCCACACCGCGCACGCTGTCCAGAGGAGGAGGCCCTACCCACGCGGCGAGCGCGAGGCGGTGGTCGCGCGGCGGAGGGGGAGAGCGAAAAGAGTGCCCTGAGATAGGGCGGCGAGATCGATACAGGATCCCAGGTCGAGGGTTCACAGACCCCCCCCCCCCAGATGAGATGGGCCCCAGGGTTCCACAGGCCCCCCCCACCCGATGGGATGGAGGGGGGGCAACGACGACGCCGACGCCGACGCCGACGACGCCTACGCCGACGACGCCGGCGGCGACGACCCCTCACCCACAGGGTGAGGGAGGAGGGGTACACCGTCACCCTCCACCACGCCACGCCCACAGGGCCACGACCACAGGGGAGGGGGGGAGCGATCCCCATCCAGTGGGGGAGGGGGTTCGATCCCATATGCGTGGGTGAGGAGGGTAGTGGGGGGGGGGGGCAACCCTGGATCATGCATGTCCACCTCCGCTGGCCAGGCCCATCCTGAGACCAGGAGCCGTGTACATAACCCCAGGAAGCATTTAAGACCCCCCCCTCCGGCAAATCGATAACCCTTCCGCACCATCATCCATATCCGCATCATCATCATCATCATCATCATCATCATCATCATCATCATCACCACCACCACCACCACCACCACCACCACCATCATCATCATCATCATCATCATCATCATCATCATCATCATCATCATCATCATCATCATCATCATCATCATCATCATCATCATCATCATCATCATCATCATCATCATCATCATCATCATCATCATCATCATCATCGTGTCCGGGTGCTACAGCTATCGTTCGGTTATTTCGGCCCTTCGGAATATCGAATAAAAAATGCGGTGCTACGACGGCGCCACGCGGTCCACTCGCAAAAGCGTCCTGGCGCGCGACTTTCCACCACGCGGGCGCTTCCAGAAGGCAGGCTGGCGGCGGTGCCCCGCCGGAGGCGTCTTCGCTACACAGTTCAAACGCGGCACTGCGCGCGCCAAGGCACGATGCCGTTCTTTCCCCGTCTTTCTCATCCTCCTCTTCCTGGAACCTCCTCCCCCTCACCTCCTGCGGTGCCTCAGGGCACCCTTTCCGATTCGGCCCCCTCCCGTTCCGTCAAGGCTCGGCTGGGGCAGCTGGACGCTGACGCTCCTCCCCACCTCCCCCCTCATGCTCCTCCGCCTCGCCCAGCCTCATCATCCGACCACATGTTCCGACGCCGACGACGACGATTCCACCATCCATCCAACCCTTCGCCAGTCCTGCTCCTCCCTGTTCGCGCCCTGGCGCCGAGCGCCACAGCATCGACCGCCGCGCACGTATATAAGGTCGGCGTCAGGGTGGCAACGCGATGGCAACTGCTCCTGCCACTCCCCCTCGTGCATCCACGAGACGGGGGTCGGTGCAGCCGGGTGCCCTCCCGAAGCTGTCAAAACGACTGGCGGGCGGTCGGCGGGTGAATCGCGCAACGACGGACTGCGCGACGCACAGGCAAGCTGAAGTGGCGTCCGCGCGCCCATGGTACATCTGTTGAGCGCGCGTGAGTCACGAATGTGCAACCTCCGAGGAAGCGATGTGAGCAGGGCTCATAGAACGTTGCACATTGTCAATAACTACATGTGTCTGCAAATGTCCGCTTTCGACAGACGGCGGCACCGTGTTCTGCAATTGCATGTCTGATGGTGCTCCCCGGGTCCCTACAAAGACCAAGGCCCACAAAAGCCCTATCGAAATTTGAGCTCTCCCTGAAGAGAAGCGGAGACGACAAGTAGAGCGGAGGTAGGAGGAGGACCCCCCTTGGATCCGACCCAGTGGAGCCCCTACAAACCTCCACCCTTGCATGCCCCCCCCCCCCCGTCTCCTGATCCTCGTCGTCCTCCTGTTCCTCCCTCTTCTCCTCCTCCCCCTCTTCTCCTCTTCCTCCCCATCCTCCTCCTCCTCCGACTCATCCTCCTCGTCCCTCTTGCCCCCCTTCCCCGCCCCCCCGAGGCGAGGCAGCCGCTTGATCTGCAACGGCCAGCTCGGTTCAGAAGATGCTGCAATTGATCGCGATTGCAACGAGCGCGGCCCGAAGCCGTATAAAACGCGAGAAGCACAACGAACAATACGTGGACGCCGGCCGAAACGTCGGCCCTGCCACCCATATGGACGCGCTGCGGTCGGCACTTCGGGGGAGCGCGCCGATTTCGCCCAGATTTGGGGGCCTGGAGGAGCCCCGATCCCTCTGCTAACAACGCCGACGTCGAGAATGCAACTCTCGTTTGGCAGCGCCGCAGGCGAATAAGAAGCGAGAGCCCTCCCGTCGAGTCCGAGATGCCGACGGCACACGGGAATCAGCAAAGAGGCAGGGGCGAGACAGCCGGTGACGCTTGTGAAGTACACTTCACCGTATCGACCGACTACTTTAACATACCCGCTACGCGAAGTACGCGTGCTACAACGCTCACAAATGTCACGCGCCCGCCACAGTGTTGTGGAGGAATGTCCATCGCTGTGCACACATGAACGTCGGTCTCGTCTGGGCTGAAACGTCAAGCCCTGGCTTTCCACTGCTACGAACGGACTCAGAGAACATATCGCGCACGAGCTAGCAACGAAAAACTTGAAGGACTAGCACGTTCAACTGCTCTGGCCGCATCCGAATGCTTGGTGGCCCATTCGCCCGATTGAGCGGCTGAGTAGAACTGGCTAAGCGAAGCCCCGAAATCTGCAGACTCACTTTGGGTTCACGAAATGCAAAGCGAGGGCGCCGCAATATCGCTCGCGCATTCCTGCCCGCGCTTGAAGCCCAAGCAACTACAAAGCAACTCGCGCTGGCAAGCCCTGACAAACATGGACTCATCATGACCGCTGGCAGCTGCCTAACTTCAGCCAAGGATGACGCACGGGCCGTTCGACCCAGACGTCTGAGAATCCTGGTTGCCAACAAGACAAAGACGCAGTTGCCTCCGTCCCATTCAAAAGCTCACCGTGGGCGATGGGTACGAAGTTCTAGGATCTACTGACCCAGATCAATCCAGATCCGGGCCATATCTTGCAGGACCCTGCACCCAAGCCCGGCTTAGTGCGGCCCTGGCCCTACAGGACCCTGGAAGATCCGGCGCTCTGACTGACGCCCGCTAGCATTGACCCCCGTCTCTCGAGCCCCGACAATGGCCGCCCTAACTCGCCCCGCCTGGTTGCGCCGGCCACCGGGCGCTTGTCTAAGCGACTGCCGCCAAAGACTGGAAAGGCCCTCTCCGCGGCCCCGCGGCCAAGCAGGAAAAGAGGGCCCCGCGCCGACGGCGAACGCCGCGCGCCTGTCTAGCCGAATCGCCTGCCCGCAGCCGTCGGCATCGTCGGCTCGCGCAGCGGGCGGTCGCGCGACAGCGACGGGGACGGCGATGGGCGGAAGCGCGCACGGCCGAGATGTGCACCACTTGGAAACTTCCCCGCGCTCGCCCGCGCATGGGCACAGCGTGCGAGAGTGCGAGGTGAGCCCCGCGCTGCGCGACCGATTTGGGCCCTCCCCTTGGCCTCGCGCGCGCGCGCGTCGTCGACGCGCTGCGCGCTCCTGCCCTGGCCACGCGCGACGATGGAGCGATCGGGGGGCCGTCGACGCGCGCGAGACGGACGGGCGGCATCGCGCCGCTCCAGCGCCGAGCACGCCCGCGGCGAGAGCTCCACGCGCGCCCTGCGATGCCTTCTCCGACGCTCTCTTGCTGACCACGCGCGGCCCGCGTCAGTCCGGCGCGCCGACGGCCTCCCCAGGGGCCCCGCGCCCCTGCGGGGACGGGTCCGCAGGGCGCGGCGGTCGCAAAGCTTCGCCCGCGAGTTCGGCGGCCTCCCCCCATTGGGAAAGCGCGCTCGGCGCCGTTCGCTCGCTTCGGAGCCGCGCGGCCCTGGCGCGGCCCAGGGCGCCCGTCCGCCACGGGGGGGGCGGCAGCGGAGGGCAAGACGACGCGCTCCTGAAACGCTGCCCGGCGAGCCTCTCGAACGACGAGCCGCGTCTCGCGGGATCCCTCCCGCAAGAGCGCTGCTCCGCCCGGCGCTCGTCGCGGCGCCGTGGCCGGAGGCGCGCGCGCTTCCCGCTTGCGGCGGCGCTCTCGCCGCGGCATGCCGCGGCGAGCTTCTGCTGCTTCTGGCACGCCAACGCGCGTTTCCAATGCATGGCGCGCTGTGTGTTTAGACACGTTTGCACACGAAACATACATGCGAACTTAGACATGCTTAGACACGCTTCAACATGTTTAGACACTGCTGGATAGACGTGGCAAACAATGAGAGACACTGCTGGACAAATAAACACGTTTAGACACTCGAGCACGCCGTGCAGGCGGGAACGCCGCACGTCTAGTCATGTCTATAACTGGTTGTTTTAGACACTCGCGCACGGCGCTCCCACGGTAGTGCCGCGAGTCTATTCGCGTCCAACGCAAAATAGACACGTCATCCAGGGCATGAGCTGACCGGGCGGTGAACTCCCGGCCCTCGAGGCAGCCGCCCTCTTCCCCTGCCGCGGCGGTCCGGGGGCAGCCGGGCGCCGCGAGCGCTGGGCCGACGGCTGACTCTGAGGAGCTTCGGGCGCCGCGCTGGCGCTCGCGCCCGCGGGTTCGAGCGGGCCAGGCGCCGCGCTGCGGCGTCGCGACGCCGCTGGGCGCGGAAGGTCCATCAAAGTCCTCGGCAATGTCCTCGATCCGACACAAGATGCGCGAAGATCGCTCTGATGGCCCAGGTTGGTCGGGGATTTCCGCGCAAACCTCCGAAGTTGCTTCCCGAACCGCGTTTCGGATCTTCCCCGAGCGAAGAGGGGGGCGCCGCTCGCCTACTGTCGCGAGCGCCTGAACTTCTTCATGGGAATGTGCTAGATTGCCGCATCCGTCCAGCGACTCTCATGCGCGCGCAGCTGGCGCGCGTAGCGGCGACCGACTATCATGTGCAGCGCTCGCCCCTGGCCCGCCTCCCCGTGGACGTCGGACGTTCGATGATCTCGTCGAAGTGGCACGCTCGGGAACTTGGCGGGGCGCTGAGGCACGAAGTGGAGCTGAAAACGCTGGCGGCGACGCACGCGCGCTGACCTGCGCCCCGTTGTCCCAGCCTTCGCCCTCGGCTGACGGGCCACTGCAGAACGCGGGGCGCTGCCCCGCATCCGCTCTCGGAATTGCGCTGGCTCCGAGATGGCCAGCGGGCAAGGCGACGCGCGGGGCGCCCCTCTTCAAGACTCGGCCCGGGCGCCGCATCGCATCCTCGAGCCGCGCCCGGGACGAGGCGCAGGGGCGCCGACTTGCCATTCTTGGCAGGTGGATCTCTCAAGCCCTCCGCCGCCTCTGGCGGTGTGCGCTGCGAGCAAGAACGCAGCAGAGCCACAAGAAAGCGCGGCATTGACAGTGTAGCTCCGCACACGTGACACATGTTAACGAGCAGGAGCACAGTAAACAAAAAAAAGATCGGGGCCCAAATCCCCGCGCTGCGGCCAAGGCTGTCGGCGCCCGCCGCGCCACCTCCCGAGGACGCAGAGGGCGACGTCGGCCCTGCCCGGCTGCGCGCAGAGGCAGGCGCCGGCGATCGGCCGAGTGCCTGGAGCTCCTGCCGCCGCAAGGAGCTGACGCGGACTGGCGGCGCGGAGCCCGCCGCGTCCGCTCGAGGCCGCGGCTGCCCCGGGGGCACCCTTTGAACCCGCCGCGTCGCCGTCGCGCTGCGCCTCTGACTCGACTGCCAAGGCCTGAAGGGGTCACTCGCCGTGGCTGGAGCTCTGGGACACTCGCAGGCCCCACAGGCCAACCCGCACTTCAAATGATTTCGCCTTCTGCCAAACCTCGCGGGCATGCGCCACGCCCCCATGGCTTGGCCAGGGAGAGCGCATGCACAGCTCCCGGGTTCAGGATGGGCCTGGCCAGGGAGCATACTTCGTCGCCCGACGTGGATGCCGCGCGTCCGACGACTCCAGTCTGTCGGCCGCTACAGGTGGAGGTGGCGGAACCGACGGGGCCATTGCCCAAAGCGAATTGTAATGGCCGTCGAAAGCACCAACGCCGACCTTCGGCAGGTTAGCCACGGGCGCTCGCGCCCCTGAACACAGCGCGGGCGACCGCGAAGATCTAACTGGAGCTCCCGCAGACATGGGCGGCGGCGCACCAACGTGCTCCGTTGCGTCGGGTTGTTCAAAAAGCTCGTTGTCCGATGTCGTCAAAATCGTGCATGTTAGCCAACGTGGACCCCAAACCATGTTTAGCGCAATATGTGCTGTGCAATCGATGTGGAAAAGTATTTCTACGTATACATATTCTCATACGCGCCTCTCCGAGGGAGTAGAGCTCAGAGGCGATTAATGCATACGCGCCGCGTCGTTCGCGATTTTTCTGGCCGTCTCGCTAGGGACATCCTCGAAATTCTGAAAATCGGTGGCACCCCTCACACAGATCGTGACGTCAAGGTCCAAAAACACCCGGGAATTTCAACATTTTAACATAACACCTTCACAAACACATTGTGATGTCAATTATTTTGGCCCCGATTCTCAGAGAATGGCGGTTTTGCCGGAGACATCCTCCCAAAATCGGAACCTCCTGGGGCTTT